CTAATACATGTATCCCAACTTTTTATAATTACGCAAAAAATAACCATTATTCTGTGTGAATTCAAACAAGTCGAAGAGCGTGTTAATAGTATACGTAAATGTATATTTACCATTTATAATTGCAGGTGGCTGGTCGTTTCCTTTATTGTCTTCAGAAAGAAAATAATATGCAATTAAATATAATTATAACATATTGTCGTTTACTGACTTTTATTTGAGAATTAAAATAAGTGTACTTATTTTAATTTTCAAATAAAAATCAGTAAACGACAATATTACTTATAATTTGAACATAATAAATATCTTAAGCACTTAACTGCAACGTTAGTAGAATATTCTTGAAAATTCAAATGATTTTTCGAGTACCTTTAGAATACATTGCGTGTCTGTCGATGAATAATAAATCTTGACAGATAATTATAACAGACACCAATTATATATTTTTCTTAGCATCCATCACATAGTTCAGCAATTCTTCAGTATGTTAGATTCTCAGGAAACCGGCCAACCCTCTAGTCCGGCCATTTTAATCAGTCCGGCAGCTGGCCGGTTTAGAGGAGTTTTACTGTATTACCAATTATGGAGAAATTGTGAAGGATTTTTTTTTATTTTTTAAGTTAGAAATGTTAAATATTTTATGTATACATATGAAAACTTTGAATTATTTTAGATGTAACATTTTCATAAAATTATCCGAATTGAAATAACCGTTGAAAATATTTACGTTTTACGTGATGGTAAGTATGTGTTACATATTTCATATTATATTACCTTTCTTCAGAATAACGACACCAAGAATAACCCCAACAGTAGCAATGATTCCAACAACGACAATAGCACCAAAGATTAATGCAATCTTTTTGGTTGCTATTCCAGATGAAACAGCAATAATCGTTGGTTGCTCATCAGTTGTATGGACATATCTATCGTCAAAAGAATTGAATTTTACGCTAGAACTCATTTTATTTCTCTATTCAGTATTTTTCATTTGCAAAGGTTTATATATCACTGTGAATTGTTTAAATATTTCATTGCTGATTCAATATAATTTACGATGTTTGAATTTATAGTAAGATGTGGCATTGACAGCTTTAGTTCTATAATCCTGTTGTAAATCATGTACATATCTACTTGTACTAGGCTCTAATAAAACAATTGCTATTTATAAGAAATAAATGTATTACATCTGTATGTCGTTTTATGTTTTCATCCACCCAATGCTCTTTTAAAGAGAATAAATAAATCATTTTCGTTAAATTTCCTTGAACGATGTGCATTCTTTATTTCTCGCATTATCAAAAAAAAAATTTTTAGAATGTATCTAAGAGATGAATTTAATTTCTGAGAAGCGCTTCATGATATATATATACGAGGGTTGTTCGAAAAGTTTGTGGAATTCTGGCATATCTTTTTATTTTATTTAACGTCATTCGCCATCCAAATTCAGTATAAATATTTTAACAAATGGTTTGTGTTAAAATTTTTAAAATGATCATGATTTATTTCAAACGCATCCAAAACTGCAAAAATCAGATCGCGGAGGAGGTAAAAATTTATTAATTCACAATCAAAACACTAAATAAATATGATAATGTTTGTAGTCACATTCTCTGTTGAAAACAAAAAAAAATTCATAGACTTTAAATTTAGAACTGTTTAATCGATTCATATTCCAAATTATGGCTTTATATTTTTCTTTGTTGAAAAAAAAATAATAAATTGGAGAAGATAGGTAGTCCTCATTGAAAGCAACAAAATTGATGTCGTTGTTGAACGTTACAGAGCAGCAGATAACGATTTAATTTTGCCTGTGTTATACTCGGGAAAAACCTGAAGAACTCCAAAATTATTTTATAGGAATCAAAAATTATGTCACAAGTAAGCAGTGCTTGTGTTTATTTATGTATATTTTAGTGACAGAGACTAGGGCAATCTATTATTTAAAAAAAGAAAAAAAACGGTTTACCTAGTTAAATATAATCAAAAACTTTGAAATTCTGAACGTCATGGAAACACATAAGCGCTTCAGAGTTGCTAGTCTTGTAAAAGCACAGTTTGTAAAACAATTAAAACATAATCAATGGAAATTATACGACGAAAACAATTGTGAGAAAAATAAATGTCAAGTGCTAAAAACGTGTTTTTTTTTAAAATCTTGATGCTATGTTTTTAACATTACATTGCAACCAGGTATGCTCTGCGTTTACAAAAAATGTTGATTTTAAATTGAAGTAAATTGATTTCTATTAAATCGAATGATTTGCAACTTTACAAATCAACAAAAAGATTTTTTTACACATGATATTTTGCTTATTTTAAATTTCTTGAAAACAATATAACGAAGATCGATTGACATCGTCCAGGAACTTTTCGAACAGCCCTCGTGTATGCAGGCGTTTAGTGTTATAGCGTTGCCGCAACGCACTTTTTAAAAAAAAATTACCCGCTTTGAAAGAAATTTTCAAAGTGCGTTAAAATTGGGACTAGATAAATGCACTTTGAAATTTTTTTTAAAAATGCGTTAAGAGTGAACATCAACATTTTTTTTTACATAAAGACACCCAAAGCACATTGAAAAAAAAAATGTGTGTTTAGTAAAAGGGGGCAGCCAGAGAAAAAAATCTGATAAAAATTGACAAGCAAATAAAATAAAGGCAAAATTTGCCCAAATTGGAAGAGGGTAGTCACTAGAGGCCGACTTTTTCCAACACAAACTTCTTTCAGTTTCAAATTTTCTTCATACAAGTACTACATTGCCCTTATATCACTTTACTTTAGCCATGAAGGGGGTGGGGGCAGCCTTTCACATTTCAATATAGTTAAAGTTATGTTTCACTATTGCTACGTACCTGGCATAATTAATTTTCATGCATCTGAAGAAAAATAACTAAATGTATTCATAAAGGTCATCACGTTGTGTGGGAATAATTTAGTTTCAGTTGTAACACGTCATTTGATTGGTTAAGCGGTTTTATCCATTTTGTATAGCATAACTTGCCTACGTCACAATGAGTAACGTCAAAAACGTATTACTCCGCTAGACGTTAACTTTAAAAATAAGCTATATTTGAAACCTTTTTCCGAAGAAAAAAATGGAAAATTTGTATGATTGCCTACATTGAAATTAAATTATAAGGAATGAAGCTTATTTCAACTTATGTTAGGCCTATACGATAAATCATAACTTGGGGCAGTTTACGCTTTTTTATAAACCGCTTCCCGGTTTATAAAGCGTAAACTGCCCCTAGTTATGTTATATCGTATAACATAAGTTGAAATAAGCTTCATTCCTTAAATAAACATTTTTTCGTACTTTCAAATATTTATAAAATGTTCTATATGTGCGGGAATATTATTTTCAATTAGCATACAAACTCCCTTTTGTCGTATTCCTTATTCCCTTATGAGTTGTATTTAAAGATTGCTATATTCGAAGAGCAATAACTCTGATTGATCACCTATTCTCACATAATCCGTCCATATACGCAATTTGGATGTCGCAAGCACTTTAAATTACATTAGTATAAAAATCAAAGTACTCAGAAGTACAGAGAGCCGGGCTCATTTACAGAGTAGAATGGATTTCTTACATGAATCACGTTTATATTCTGATGAAAAAATTATTTTAAAACTATCAATATAAATGATAAGACACTGATAGTGAGTTTTTCAATCCTAAAACCACGGTCCGATTTTGTCAGAATCAGAATTAATCTGGTACCGCAGCTGAATGTAAACAAACAGGTCAGTCGGGTTCCCTCTCCTGCTTTACCTCGTATGTGTAGAGAACTACGGTAACACTGATTATCAAGAATCCTTACGCTAATAAACTATGTTCTTTGACTTAGGAAGTTTTCTAAGTCATTACTACTAATGTTTATTTTATATAGATAAAACTTCCTTTTATTTTTGTTGCTTTATTTAGCGTTTTTATTATCTCAAAAGCGGTTGAGTAAGAACTATATTTTTGCACGTAACTTTAAAATGGCGACTATGGGGTCAACATCCTGCCTTGAACAGGATCACATAAGCCGGCAATTGCTCTTTGAGCAATAAGCCCGGCTAAAAATATTCTTGACAGTGTTTTTAATGTCATGTTTTAATATAGATGCTGATGTACACAAGTCTACGTCCTGACATGTTTCTTGCCATTGATGAAATGATGCAGAGGTTCCAGATAAAGTATATTGATGGATGGACACCATCTTTCATTTCATTGACTGACTAATTGTTGATGACTTAAATGAAACTGACAATGAACACCCCATTTTTGGACCTTGCTGAGAGGTTTAACACGGGTCCGTCATCTGTCAATAACATTGTAACTTCACAGATTGCTTTGCATGAAATAATATATGAAGGACTCGTAGAGAGTCGCATTCCTTCTCTCCAGAAGTGCAAGGGGTCTATGCCTACACGGTTTGGGGATTTTAGTTCATGTAGAATAGTACTTGATGCAACAGAAATCACCCAGGATGTTCCAGGGAATGATATGAGATTACAGCTAGGCCAGCACATACAGCGGATACAAAAATTCTCACACTGTTAAAAGTGTTACAGGTGTTGCACCTAATGGTGCTTTGGTATTTATTAGTAAATTATACCCTGGCAGCACATCTGATGTTGCAATTGTAGAACATTGTAAAGTCTTAGAACAGTTATCTCCTGGTGAAATGATCTAAGCAGACAAAGGGTTCACTATTCACAAGTTGTTGCCCAAGGAGTACATCTAAATATTCCTCCCTTTCTTACATCTAAATCCCAATACACCCCCAGTGAGGTCCAACTATGTCGAAGAATTGCTAAGTCACGCATACATGTTGAAAGAGCAAATGAGCGTATTAAGAATTGTGAAATTTTAAGGCATGTTCCGCAGCAATTTAGATATATTTCTACAAAAGTCTTTCAATTATGCTGTGTTTTAGTCAATTTTCAGGATCCCCTTATGCAGGAAATTGCTCAGAATTTTGCAAGTGTAGATAACTAAGATATTAAAATTAAAATGTTTTCACCATGTTTAATGTTATATCTTATAGCTATTGTAAATACGGGAGAAATTTACAGAAATAAAAGTCCGTCAAAACAGATATGTTGATCTCCCAATTGATGTCTTTGTTAATTCTCACAATCGCACAGTCTTTTGGTGTCCAGACCATAAAATCACACAAGGATTTCCCAGTTATCTGAAGCTGTCCTTGCACTTGATCATAGTATTGGTGGTTCTCTCGTAGCTTGAAGGACTTGACTCCATTAAAATCCTGAACCTCTATATATGAAAAAATATATATGTTGAAGATTTTTAAAGAATAAGAATTTTCATAGGTGCCTCAATCATTAATATAAGACAAAACTATTTAACTAATAAATATTTACATGTACAAATATTTTGTTCCTTACTGTACAATAAAGTGAGAAGGCAAATCATCTGCCTTGAGGACTAACATTACAACAGAAGGAAAAAACTTTTTTAACAATTGCTAAATTGTACTTAAATTTATCCAAACTAATATATTGGAATTATTTAAAGTAATATCGCAGTACATGAAACATATTCAAACAAATACATATACACTATTATTATCTAGGCAGAAATCATGTATTTTTTCAATAGCTTCTGGAATTGTCATATTCTTTGCTGAAAAGGGGCATTTCACCTCCAGTATTTCTGGCTTAACGTTTGACATCTCTAATATGTAAGCGAGTCCTGGATTCTGATAGCTGAATCCGAATGCAGCAGGACGACGAATGAGTCCATCGGGGCTTGACCCAAAAACCCCATTACAGTGTAGCCAGATACCTAATATGAACAGTATTATAAAGTTACAAAATAGCATTTATATGCAACACTCTGATTTTCTTATGCATTGATGACTTGTTATAAATAGAACATAAAAACAGTATATTTATATTCATTATCTTCAACTTCAGTTTAATAACTGAATTTTAAATAAATTAGCTCAAGAAAAAATGTTTATTTATCATCAATTTTTATTTGCTTTAAAGAAATTGAAATTTTGCTTAGGAAAGAAATATACCAACCTGTTTGCTCTACAACTGCATCCCCAAAAACTCTATACTTTTCAATTGCGACTTTTTCATTGCATGTCCCCCAAATAATGGCATCCTTCTTTGACAGATCATAAACTGAGCATAATCTTTTGTATAAGGAGACAGGATATGTGTTATATAAGGAGCAAACTTTCAATATTTTTGATTTTATAATTAACTGCTTTTACAGGTATCATTTATAATTACATATACATATAAAGGCAACAAGTATACCTATTTCTCTTGATCGCTGCCAAAACACAACCAAAGTTTGAAGCTGTTAATCTATTCTTCCTAACAGATGACCACATGCAATTTTCCTTTTGACCAGTGGTAAGACAGGCAATCTAAAACATGACAAAAATCTTAAAACTTAAACAACATTCATAATGAAACAGAATACATTCTTTTCATTATGCAACTCATTTGTCATTTGTTGGATTTCTTGCTCATTTATCATTAATTTTTGCTTCATCCAAGCGATTGGATTCTCTGCAGAAATAAATTCCTGGCTAGAGATGAGGTTTTCAACTAGAGGCACTGCAAGTGTGGGCACAGGCGGCTCGGGGGATAGTATCCAATGCATTGCTGTTGATTTAAGGGGATGAAGGACCTTTAGCTGAAATAATACCTGTCATTTAATTTTTTTCATATTTTGTATATATCTTATTTAGTATGTCCGACATACTATAAAGCAGACATATCAATAGGTTTCTAGACTTATTTCTGAGATATTGAGTGACAAATACCATACCCCACAGTGTCTGAGCGGAGTTTTTATTTTCCGTTTTCTGGGTCCATTACTCGGTCGATAATTGTAATATTTCCCCATAGATAAAAAATATACCAGCGGAAATGTGTTTTTTAAAATATTTTAAAGCATGAATAGGGTTAAAAATTTGAAAAAGCAAGATTCTTTTGTAACACCACATCTGGAGACGGAAATTTACGACTTTTTTAGGACAACTTAAACCATAAAATAATTAATTTGCAAAAAATCCTATCATTCAATATTTGAAAATTTACGTCGAAGTTTAAGGTCGTCATTGTGTTGATTAACTGTAAAAATATCGATTGGTGAAGCTGAGCTCAATATTGCACGGGGCAAAGTTAAACGAGTCATGATCATGAGAAAAACGTGTCATGTTTACATTTCTCGAGTACGGGAAAACCCAACATTCCTGAAATAAGCGAAATAAGACAAACCCACAGAACTTTTCCGTCAACAACCATGTAAAAATATTTTATGCGTTCTGAAATTTACAAAATACCTTACCATGTACATATTATGGCCCGTTTTTATGATTTTATACTACCCGTTTTTACCGTGTATGATCTTACTGAACTAAGAGATCCACTATGACGTCAAAGACGCACTGGACGCGCAGAGTAGGGAAACGGCAGAGTGGATTAATATATTCCGTAATTTGATAATATTTGCAAGAAATTTTGAATGTTTTCAGATATTTTTATACTAGATGGTGAACGCAAACAAACAGTCAAAAAAATTATACAAGTACTGTGGTTTCAATTTCGTTTTGTACATATTTTATCAGAGATTATGACGTAAATCAACTGAATCACGTGACCATACATCCTTCATCCCCTTAATTAAACAAAAAAATTAAACCCTTAGTGAAAAAGACAACAAATACTCAATAAACCTGTATTGCAGTTACATCACCAATTCTTAATACTGGTATATATATGTTAAATATTTTTTCAAACTTATTTTATTCACTACTTCAAATAAATTTTGGATTTCAATATGTATACATGTGAAAAGAATGTACAAATAATTTCCTTTAAGTATATGAGAAATAGGGTGAATAATATTTAAACATTTTACTAAAGGTTGCAGTTGAGTTGAAGTTTTATGTTACGTCACTATCTTCTAGTTTGACAGATGCGTTCAAGGTAAATAGTATACGCCTCCTAACCGCCTCCTTATCCCTGATTGTTTACTTGTACAACAAACTATTTCTGTTTCAAGGTTGATAATATGAGTTAATTAATCACATGAATTGTTTACGCTGAATGCATCTGTCAAAAAAGATTGTGACGTGATGCAAAACTTCACACTGAATTGAAATTGATAGCATAAATGTAAAATTAAAAGTTTAAAACAAAGTCAACACAAAAACAAAAGAGACAAGAACAAAACTAAACATGTAAAAGACAAAAAAAGCAAAAAGAATGGAAAGACTGCACATCTTGTCAGAATTTCAGTCCAATGTCAAATAAGCCATTAAATATCTGAAGTCCAAAGTCCGGGTGTAATGAGTTAATTAGGTGTTTTGTGAATTTATATATATATATGCATGTGTGTATATGCATTCTATCCTATCACAGTATAAATTTTCAAAAAAGTAACAATAAAATAAACTCGTAAACAATGTGACACTAAAATAAAACACCAGATATATTAACCTGAAAATCTCCTTACAGTTGTCAATTTCTGATATACGAACTCCCTGTCCCTATCATTGACTGGCCTATTTGTTGCCCTAGTAATTTTTGACAAAAGTTGAAAAATGGAGCATAATACAACACTGAATGGTTTTACATATACCATGCTAGCTGCAGATCTGTAGCTTGCTGGTCTGAAAAAATTGGGATGGACGACCAGAGAGATACAGTTCCATCCATTGAAAAAAGTGTATTTTGCCCATAAAAAATGTGCTATTTCTCTATTTTTTATATTTTCCAGGGGCTGACAAATAGATTTTTAAGGCACTAGTCCAAGGGCAATTACATGGTCTAAATTGACCTGCCCTACCTGAACTTTTGCTTGCCCTACCTTAAACTAATTCTGTTTTTATAGATATTTCAAAATAGAGGAAGACAAATGCTGAGCAAGGACCTATGCCAAGTGTTAAATTAATGGCCTACAAATACATTCTATTTTTTCGATTAGTAACTTGCCCACGGGCAAGTGTTTGATAAAATTCCACTTTCCCACCCCTAATATTCACCAGCCCCGGGCGTCGGGCAATGGGATTTGTCATCCCCTGTTTTCACTTTTGGGGTACTGTCATTTTTTAATATTTTGCACCATTCATTTTGCACAATTCCCCTTATAAACTGCGCATCTTTGTCATACACAAACTTTAAAACGTGGTCAGATTGTACGGCAGTCTCCGATTTCCGCATAAGTTTCGTTGTACCAGCTGTATAATTTGACCATGGAGAACGCCATACCGCAATCGCGTATACCTTGTGTAATATGGCGTCTTCTTTGTTTAATCTGGCGATGTCTAGGGGGGCACTGTGTAGGCCTAACACCTGCATCATTAGGGACTCCTCGGCTGATTAGGTTTGCCGAATGAGTGGAAAATTTAGCCTGGTACCCTGTCTCATCATTGCCGAGGCAGTGACGCAGGGTAAACGAAGCAAAACAGGGACAGGGAACCAGGCTATGCGTAGGAATTTGTTAAAAGTTCTCTACTAAGAACAAATGTATTTTTGATAACTGCACAATAATAAATACAGTACAGTTTATATTCACATTTAATTAATCAGATTATGAGTATAAATTGTTTCAACAGCGATTACAAATAGATACACTATATTTCAGAACGTCAGTTTAATTTGGCGACTATTGGGTCAACATCCTGCCTTGAACAGGATCCCATAAGCCGGCTATTGCTCTTTGAGCAATACGCCCGGCTAAAAACTGGTAAATTTTGTAGTATTTTGTTTGTGATACGTCTATAGTTACCAAACCAACACAGTAAAATGTTAATACACAGGTTAAAACCTCCCTGGGATCCGAGTATATAGTCTAAAAAGTCTGTCGCTCAAGCAAAGGTCAATGTTTGGACCATTGAATAAAACAGCAATTATATTTCATGTTAAAAGTTATGACTTTTACATGAATATACTGAAATTTCGCACTTATATGTCTACAGTGAAATTTTTAAAAAATGTAAAATAACTATGTCGCAAAATTTGTGTAATTTACGTTATCGAATTATTATTATTTGTTTAAATAGCATAAAGGGTATCTAAATAGATAAAATATCTACTAGAATATCCAACAAAGTCCATGAAATGCAACCAGAATCAAAGAAAAGTTATATCACAGAATACTTACAAAAACACATTGGTCTTGTAAAAACAGGTGAATGGTTCGTTTTAAGGATGTAATTTACGTTATCAACGATACTTAAAAAATACGAGTTTAACTGTCTTTGCATATTAATTCATTTATTCTTCCTGACGTACCAAACACGTAAAATATCAAAACGAGTATTGATCTGTGCGAGTACACATTTTACACCAATAAAACTGATGAAAAGTAATTTACGTTATCAGTAGAAAACATACATGGTACATTTCTTGCAAATAAGATGTCGGAACAATACGGAACCATGCAGGAAACGTTATTGGTTTTCTCTCAAGTGCATCTTAACATCACAGAACTTCCGATGTAGATCACAGAAGGATAAAACGTACGCTCAACTAGGACCTCAGGTCCCCCGCAAATAGTTCGTCATTTTGCGTAGTAATAAAACATTTTAGGAACTCTTCAGGCATTAAAGGCACAAAAGTAAATTCATCGATATCAATACGGAGACCTCAGGTCACCTTTTACATTGATTGAATTTTATATGATTGACCGTTTTCTTTGTCTTACTCTAAAATAATGATATTTATAACTTTATACAGATCTACTTTCTGATACTAAGTTTTACATGTATATTTATATATTAGCAGAAACGTGAAAGTAATAAGGGGGACCAGAGGTAACCTTATATTATACATCAGAGGGAGACCAGTAGTCACCTTATATTGAACATCATTAGAGGGATCATAGGCCACCTTACATTTTAAATTCATAGGGGGCCATAGGTAACCTATATTGTACATTATTTGGGGGACCAGAGGTCACGTTATATTGAACATCAATAAGGAGACAAGAGGTCACCTTATATTGTACATGATTAGGAGGACTTAAAGTCACCTTATATTTTTACATGAGTGGTGGGGGGGAGAGAGGTTACTGTATCTTATATTGTACATCAGTAGGGGGACCAGAGGTTACCTTATATTGTACATCGGTAGGGGGAGAAGAGATCACCTTATATTGAACATGAATAAGGAGACCAGAGGTCACCTTATATTGTTAATGATTAGAGGGACTAGAGGTCACCTTAAATTGTACATCAGAAAGGGGACCAGAGGTTACCTTATAATGTAGTAGGAGGACCAGAGGACACCTTATATTGAACGTCAATAAGGAAACAAAAGGTCACTTCATATTGCACATCAGTAGGGGGATCAGAGGTCACCATATATTGTACATCAGTAGGGATAGAAGAGGTCAACTTATATTGTACATCAGAAGGGGGACCAGTGGTCAGCTTATATTGTCACCTTTCATTCTATATCGGTAGGGGGACCAGAGGACACCTTATATTGTACATCATTAGGGAACCAGAGGTTATCTTAAATTGTACATCAGTAGGAGGACCAGAGGTCAGCTTATATTGTACATAATTACCCGGTAAGGAGACCAGAGGTCAACTCATATTGAAAATCAATAAGGAGACCAGAGGTCACATCAGTACATCCAGAGACCAG